ACATACATACATACATACATACATACATACATACATACTCATACATACATACATACATACATACATACATACATACATACATACATACATACATACATACATACATACATACACATACATACATACATACATACATACATACATACATACATACATACATACATACATACATACATACATACATACATACATACATACATATACTACATACATACATACATACATACATACATACATACATACATACATACATACATACATACATACATACATACATACATACATACATACTACATACATACATACATACATACATACATACATACATACATACACATACATACATACATACATACATACATACACATACATACATACATACATATACATACATACATACATACATACATACATACATACATACATACATACATACATACATACATACATACATACATACATACATACATACATACATACATACATACATACATACATACATACATACATACAACAATACATACATACTACATACATACATACATACATACATACATACATACATACATACATACATACATACATACATACATACATACATACATACATACATACATACATACATCATACATACATACATACATACATACATACATACATACATACATACTACTACATACATATATACATACATACATACATACATACATACATACATACATACATACATACATACATACATACATACATACATACATACATACATACATACATACATACATACATACATACATACATACATACATACATACATACATACATACATACATACATACATACATACATACATACTACATACATACATACATACATACATACATACATACATACATACATACATACATACATACATACCTACATACATACATACATACATACATACAACATACATACATACATACATACATACATACATACATACATACATACATACATACATACATACATACATACATACATACATACATACATACATACATACATACATACATACATACATACATACATACATACATACTACATACATACATACATACATACATACATACATACATACATACATACATACATACATACATACATACATACATACATACATACATACATACATACATACATACATACATACATACATACATACATACATACATACATACATACATACATACATACATACATACATACATACATACATACATACATACATACATACATACATACATACATACTACATACATACATACATACATACATACATACATACATACATACATACATACATACATACATACATACATACATACATACATACATACATACATACATACATACATACTACATACATACATACATACATACATACATACATACATACATACATACATACATACATACATACATACATACATACATACATACATACATACATATACATACATACATACATACATACATACATACATACATACATACATACATACATACATACATACATACATACATACATACATACATACATACATACATACATACATACATACATAAACAAACTTGGCTCGAAGAAACATTGCCTTGAACTTATAAGAAGCTGTCATATTAGAGGGGGAGACTGAATTTGAGCGACTTGCAAGCTTCCTACAGCTCTGAAGTTTTATTAGTCAAATGCATTAACCTCCATTTTGATCTGCATAAGTTATAACATTAAGAAATGTAGTTACTCGACTTTAGATGATCATTGCTTCCCTTTTTTGTTCTTTGAATCTTCATAATGTTGTTATTTGACTTTAGCCTCACGAGGGAATCATCATGTCATGAAGATATTGACACTGGACTCTGCTTGTTAGACCTTTTATTATATTCACATGATTACCATATTAAAAATGGATTTGTGTCGAATTTGGTGTTCGCCTCTCATAAGTTTATTGAATTAACATCTTGGATACTTGCTTGAAATTTTCATTCTTTTGCTCTAAGTGGACATTCGATATTATGAAAACTTATAGTCTGGACTAGAAAACAGAAGTGCTGGTGCTTCTAAAGGCAAGACGTCTAAGCAAGATGACACTCAAAGAAATAACGGAAGATCCTGTAGTACCGATAAACAGGCAAAGAATAAAGACGACGAGCAATCGAGGGTCCATAAGAAACAATGGTCCGTAAGAAACAAAGGAAAAAAGATCAAACTGTCGAGAAAAAGAAGACGTATAGTAGAAGCGCCAAGGAAAAGCCCAATAGTTCAACTTCTAAGGAACAAAAAAGGGGCAAAATTTTGAAGCCGAATAGCCCGAGAGGATCCAAAGAGAAAAATATGTTAAAGGAGGAGACTGGTAGCCAAAGGTATACTGTTGTTTTTCCCAAATATTTTTCCTACGAGTTCTTAATTAGTCACAGCAAAAAACTTAGTTCTTAAACTAAATTGTATTCATCGGGAAGGAACTTCACCCCGGAGAATCTGCCAAGACAAGTACCCGAAGAGCAGGAGTGATGCAAGTTCTGGGTTTGGTTGCACCCCCGGGTCACCATTCGACAAGAACAGACTCGCATAGCCTAGTTTCTCATAACAAGTTTCCCATGGAATGGTACTATTCCAGTCAATTTGTGAAATGTAATGGCTTAAATGACATAGCTATCAACTGTACACCTACGAAATTTATTTCACCGATGGGTAACTATTAGGAGTATGCCTTCTAATGACTCGTACCTAAGGGATGCAGATATTGAAATCCGAATTTCACACATACTCAAAAGATTGCATATTTTTCTAAACTCATCCCAATTATTGACCATTCACAATGTCACTTCTTGTCTCCATGTTATCAACTGAAGGAACTGGTTATAAAGGAACCAAAGGTGAAAAAGTTTAGAGAGGTATTGCATGTACAAAAGTTACAGATGTTGGGCTGCTTTTAGGGACACCCGTAAGAATGAACAGTTTTTAAGTTCTCTTTGCCTTTAAAGGACTTTCTATTTTGATGTGTAAGAGAAGCAAATGTCCCATCTATTTACCATCTTTTCGTTTCCATTTCTTTCCTTAACTTTGTGCCTCAGCTTTTTGTTTCACAAGAAGAGGGGATAGTGTTTTCCGAGTACGTTTTTTAAACTGTCGTTTTCTGATGTTGATCCCTTCACCGCCTTGCGTTTTGGCATTGGAATATGGGAATGATGTCCCCAGAGCTTTGCATTCTATCACTCGGATCTTAACTTGTTTTTTTCCTTCTATGTAGAGTTACTTTCATTAATAACTCAAACTCTGACTTCTCTGTCCGTAATTTACTCCTTTCATTTAAATTTCTTCTAGAATTATAAATATCATGATAAGTAATTTGAGTTGGAACAATCTGAATTATTATTTAAATATATGTTGATGAAAAAAATGGATTACGAGGATCGTAGGTGTTTTTGTGAGAGAAAGAAAAATGATAATTTGAAGAAGAAGATGAACAATAAAGAGAGTTCAAATTATGAGAGAAAAGAGAGGGATAATCCCTTTTTTATTTTATATAACGATTTTTATATTTGTCTTTAATACTGATATCAGGAGGTTATGATTATTTATAGATTGATAAGATAAGTAGACTTAACCATCAATTAATAGATTTAATCGGTGATAAAATTGATAATGGTCAGATTAAAGACTATAACGATCAGAAATAAATGAAATCTTCATATAAACTTTAGAGATCATGATAGGTGGAGGATTAACTGCGAAAGTACTCTTTACAATAATAAAAATTATATACACATTAAATATAAGGTGTTAATTACATCAGGTGTTAATTATTTTTACTTAAATTACTTTTTTTTTGTTTCATATTTACATGGGGAATTTAAATATAAAAATTAAATGTTTGAATCGTTATTGGCTTAGTTTGTGGGTAGAAAGAATGCGGTTTGCAAAGTAGAGCTGAGCCTGAAAACATGTCCGATCGAAACTAAGGAAATGTCATGTTCATAGATAGGGCAGGGAGGTTTTAGGACGGTAGAAAAAGAAAAGGAAATCATTTTACTACATTTGTCGGGATCGGGTTACTGTCATTAGATGTTGATCTCACCTCTCTACAGTGTTCAAGATATAGTAGGGGTCCACCCAACACTCCCACATGCAATTTCTAACCCTTGTCGCCCTCTTTCAAGTTTCAATTTCAATCTGTTTGGTAAATTAAAAAAATAATCCCATTTTTCTGAGGTTTTTACAGGATCGAGTTATAGCAAGCGAAGTTAGAGATATAAACACGATTATAAAAGTTGCAACTTGCAATAAAAACCGACTGACACTGTGACATCAGGAAGGCATTAATCATCATAACAATGAGTAATACATCGTGTTGAAGTAACCAATATTCTAAAATGCATGTCTGCAGTTCACACTTTGTGTAAAAATGGATATCTAAAAGTAAAAAGTGTGTATTTCCCTATTTTCCTGGCTAGTGGAAGGACTAGAATAACACAACATGCAGTGCTTTCCAAGGCAGAAATTCATGTTTCATAACGATTACATATGCACGAGCATAGGTATATCCATACATAAGAGAAACAAGGGAATGCGCATGGAAGTGAAGCAATGAAACGAATACTAATTATATATAGTCCGGCCGCATCACCGTTTTCATGATAAGGTCCTGCCCTGCTGGGACAAAAGCTGTCGGCGCCAGCCACCGTCATTCTTGCCCGCCGTGACTCTTTTACCTTTTAAAATGATTGCCTCCTTTCACGTCCCGTTTTCCTGCATCGTTTCATTAGCAGTCAAAATTACCAACCGAGTTAATTGTGGCATTATAAAGTCCCACCTCGGATGACGATTATTCACCTTTTACTTAATCATCAACAGTAGCAGTAAAAAAAAGAAAGACAGAAGAAACCAAGTGCTTGTCTAAGTACTTCTTTTACTTGGTAATTTCTAGACTACGGTCCTCGTCTCGCTTCATTCTATTTTCTTCTTCTTCTTCTTCCACTTATTGTAAGAGGAAAATGTTTCCACTGAAAAGTTTATGTGGTGTTGAGAACGACAGCCCAATCACGTTAATGGAGGGTGACAATTCCATCAAGGTTTTATCAGAGAGAAAATCAATGGAAGCCTGTAAGAGTCATAAGGAAGCTGAAAGGAGGCGCAGGCAGCGTATCAATGCCCACTTATCCACTCTCCGATCTCTCGTTCCCAACACTACCAAGGTTCTTAACAAAACAAAAATATAGTATATTGCTGTCGAGGTTAATGTTATTTAATTTGCTTTTTTTTTGTTGGGGGGTGCACTGGACAGACGGATAAGGCTTCGTTGCTGGCGGAGGTTGTCCATCACGTAAGGGAGCTAAAGAGGCAAGTGGAAGACGTAGTGCGGGTCGACCGTGACGGTTGTTGCAGTGGTATCCAACCGGAACTCGAGACGTCGCGGCCGCTTCCCGGGGAATGCGACGAGGCGGCTTTGAGCTTTTGCGATGAAGAAGGGAAGTTGTTGAAGGCGACGGTTTGCTGCGAGGATAGGCCGGGTTTGAACCACGATTTGAGTCGGGTGATTAGGTCGGTCCAGGCTAAGGTGATTGGGGCTGAGATGACGACGGTTGGTGGGCGGACCCAGAGCGTTGTGGTGATGCAATGGAGCGGGGATGAGGAGCAGATTGGACTATTGAAACGGGCTCTGAAGGATGTGGTGGAGAACCAGGTTTCTAGGTTGGCCCAAGGTACGGGAAGTAAACGGGCTCGGATTTTTGGGTCGAATAATGAAATTGGTCATGGTTTTTGGTAGGCTGAGGCAGTATTTGATTGTTAGTAATAAATTAGGAAAAAATTAAATAACATAAGGTTAAATTAAATGTATATATAATATATATACTCTCAGTTGTGGTAAAAAAAATCCTAATATTATTTTGAGTAATTTGGGATATTTTATTATAGTAATATAATAGAGGCGCCCTTAAGTATTGTTGTTTGGTTTAGAACTGGTATTTCCTTATATTTTATTTAAATTTATTTAGTATACTATTTATATTTATAACAAAGAATGCATGCTTATCTAATTATTTGGTTATTTCTTATTGTTTGTTAACTATACGTGTATGTATTCTCCGTTAAGCATGATAATTAAGAATTAACAATATAAAATGTATGTGATCCCACTGTTAAATATGAGATTGATAGGATTTATAATTGAGAAGGGTTAAAATTTATAATCATTTTATAATTAGGGTTAAATTTATTTAATTTGTAAGTGCGATGGATTGATGTATTATTAGATGTAGTTCTGTTAGTTAATTAACATTATGTGACATGATTGACATCAAAATATAATTAACCCTATATTTTAGTGACTAATAAGATAATATAACCTAAAATTTATCAAATTAATTATTGCATGTATTTTAAAATATTTTATAAAATTAATGTAATATATATGAAGAGAAATTGTTGATAAAATTTAACCTCTCACCTCGTATACCCCAACATGGTAATATGCTTGGTAATAAACCATATCCAAATGAAACCTGCGTTTGGACTGTCTAGTCGTGTGGGAAAATGACGAAACAAACAAGAGTTCTTAAATGGTTATGTTTATGGGACACATCACTATGCAAAACTACACGCATTTGAAAAATGATGTGAACTTGAGAACCAAATAATCAAATTAAAATATAAAAGGGGCATCTTTCATATTATTTTTTTGTTTTATGAAGCCAAGGCCACTCGTTTTGTAGCTTTGCGTGACTAATGATTTTGAATAATGAAGGCAGGGGGAGTGGACCATTTTTTTAAGTACTTGAAAGTGGAAAAAGAATGGGTTTTTGCTTGTTCAGATCCCATAAAGATTGGATAAGTATTTGCTTGGATAAGCTTGACTTGCTTGTCCTCGTCACCATCTCAATTATGCCAACAATCCTGGAAAGAAAAGAAAAGAAAAACAATTTGAAAACTTTACGTGATGATATGGAGAACTGATCAGACAGACGAAATAAAAGCGTCTTAAAGGAAATCTGGTTACGTAGCAAATGCAAAGGTGGGAAGAGAAATGGCCTGGCTTATCCGTAAGTATAATCATCTTTTAATAATCGTAAATTCAAGGTCACATAGTCTGATGAAAGTTATCATTTGAATCCAGGCTTTAAAGCTCGATCGCTTGTATCAGCGATAAGGCCACTACGTGATGCCCTCGACTCTTTTCACTGCTCGCAATCACACTTCTCTGATTGCAGTGTTCGCAGTTTTCCAAGGAAATGGCTTGTATCAGGGTCATCGTCTTCACCGGAGATCACTAGGTACATGGCTTTCAATTTCTGCTTTTTATTATTATTATTATTACTATAAGATATTGGATTGTAGTGAAAAATACCCATTTCCCTCTTTAAAATAGAAAATTTGTAGGATGATTGCAATCAATGAAATTCCATAACCAGACACCATTTCATTACATATTTTGCCTTGGATTTTCTGCTATTTGTACTTCTGCATGCTTGGATCATAGCTTTCTCCATACACAGGAGCTCCTCGGTTTCGGCTTTGAAGGCTTCAAGCAATCCCCTTGGACTAGAAGAATTTCCACATGTGAATGATCATGAGGAAAAGCTAAACTTGTTTGATGAGTTGAAACAGAGGTTTCTGAGTTTTAAAAAGCACAAATATTTGTAAGTCCAACATAACAGCAGTAAGATTGCAAATGAAAAGAAATGTTTCTGAATTTTCCTTTTTTTGAGCAGGGAAGAGTTGGAGCATTTTCAATCCCTTAAAGAAGCTCAAACACCCAAGGTTATATAAACCAAACTCACTTATCTCTTTCCCATCATGATTCTTCTATGTATGTATAGAACCTGACCAATTAACTAACAAAACGAGTTTCAGTTTATGGTAATTGCTTGTGCAGATTCCAGGGTGTGTCCTTCTACAATCCTTGGATTTCGACCGGGAGAAGCCTTCATGATCCGTAATGTGGCAAATCTTGTTCCTCCACTCGAGGTATTTAGCCGTGCTGCTTCAATTCCTTAAATCCTCATCATATACAACTCAAAAACTGAAGTCGATCATTCACTAAAGCATGGAAAAACATAGTAATAGATTTCATTATTAACTCTTTTTTGCAGAAAGGACCATCGGAAACCAATGCTGCCCTCGAGTTTGCAGTAAAAACTCTTGAAGTAAGTGACTAGAGAAGTAAGATCAGAATTTAGCAAGGGAAACTTTCTAATTTGGATGTACAAAATGTTTTTTTTTTGTCATCACCAGGTTGAAAACATATTAATCATAGGTCACAGTTGCTGCGGGGGAATTCAAACACTTATGAGAATGCGCGATAATGGCGACTCCAGGTGATGATGTTTCTCTGTTTTAGCCTAATGAAGCCATTTCAAAATGTTCAGCCTCGGCTTTCTCATTGCGCCTTTAATTGTTCTGCTGAGCAGTTTCATCAAAACTTGGGTTACTAATGGGAAAATTGCCAAGAACAGAACAGAATCTGCCGCAAACCACCTTAGCTTCGATCAACAATGCCGACTGTGTGAAAAAGTCAGCACTCTTTTCCCAGAATTTGGCACCATATACTTCATAGTATAGACTAATTGAGTTGAATTTGTGGCAGGAATCTATAAATCGGTCGCTGTTGAACTTGCTAACATATCCATGGATAGAAGAGAGGGTGAAGAAAGGGTTGCTTTTTGTTCACGGCGGATACTATGATTTTCTAAACTGTACATTTGAGAAATGGACGCTTGATTTCAAGGGAAGCAGCGATGAAGAAAGGGGAAGGATTTTAGTCAAGGATCAACAACTTTGGTGCTGACGGTTGCCTTCTCAAAGAATATTCACTTTTTACATGTTGCTACCCTTGGATCTTCCACACTGTAACGTGTTTAAATGTTGCACTTTAATCATTTTTAACGAAGTAAATAACAATACAAGATTTAACACCTAATTAATGCTTGATGAGTAGAATAGTAAAGAGTTCGAGGAAGATTCTGGGTTCAACTCCAGATTTGATTGGGCCCAATATAAAGAGTCCAAGAGAGGAGATAAGGGCCTTTTTCATTGTTGAATTTAATTTTTGTCTCTTTAAAATTTTAATAATTTAATTTAGTCGTTATTAGCCAAAGTTAAACCTAAAGTTGGAACCTCAAATTTTCAAATTGAACCAAGCTCAAACATTATATCGAACCAATTCAATTGCTACAATTTCCAAACGATACTATAACCAATTTATGACAATAAAATTCAAGGCATACCCCATTGTGAAATGCAAGGGATTTTATGATTTGGATGCAATCTTCATTGGTTATTGGCATGGGTAGGTTTTAGGTGGATTTTGGTTTATTCGAAAATTATATATTTTCACTCGTAACCTAAATCGATTTAGATTTAGAAAAGTTTTATTTAATTCGACTTTTAGGATAAAACTTTCATCTAACTCGACACACATATGTAAAATTCTCATTTTTATTCCGTAAAACAATAACTTAGTTAAAAATACAAACGAGTGATATTGTTATAATTATCCATAAATATATAAGAGATAATTATATTATTATCTTAATTTAGTTGGATCGAAGATTTTCACTATAAACAAAAACCTGATCCCATCATTAAAAATTTCAGTCAAAATCTAATTTTCTTTTTTCAAAATTTAACCCTATAAAATTGAATCAAAACTCGTTGCATCGACATCTCATACCTATCTCTAATCTTCATCCAAACTTATGGGCTTGCTTGGATTGCCAACTTTTATTGCAAGCACAATTACAAAACAGGTTATTGTTAGTTAAATATTTCTCCTAGGTGATGAAGTAATATATTTAAAGAGAAAATCGTCTCAGTGACCAAAAATGCCTTATAATATACGATTTTAACCAACTTTTTTTGAATTTGCCAAAATAACCAACAAAATCGCAATGCGATCTCTAATTCGCAACGCGATCTCCAGTATCGCAAATCCGCGCTGCATTTTGTGTTGCGATAGTTGAAAATCGCGTTGCGATTTTCCTTTTCGCGTTGCGATAGTCTCCGCGCGGACGTGTCGAAGACACGTATTACCACGACCACGACCACGACCCGACCCGAGACGAGACGGCGGCGCGCGAGAGTCCCCATTGTTCTCTTTCACTCAACAAGGAAATGGGAAATACAAGCCTTAAATACACTTCCATATAGTGTTTCCAATATTATGTGGGATTGAGCATTACTCAACACTTCAAAGAAAATATAGCAATTTTTGTAGCATGTTTCCTACTTAATCCATATCTAACAATATTAAAACATTTTATCATATTAAAACTATATGTATAAGTTTGAATTGAAATGTAGATATCTACAACTCTTTTAATTCTCTTGATAAAATGATAAAATGTTTTAGATATGGATTAAGTGGGAAACATGCTACAAAAATTGCTATATTTTATTTGAAGTGTTGAGTAATGTTCAATCCCACATAGTATTGGAAACACTATATGGAAGTGTATTTAAGGCTTGGATTTAGTGAAAGAGAACAAGGGTGACTCTCGCGCGCCGCCGCCGCCGCCATCTCGGGTCGGGTCGTGGTCGTGGTAATACGTGTCTTCGACACGTCTGCGCGGATACTATCTTTTTAGAGAAAATTCTTAAGAAACAAAATCTTTTTTTTAATTTACTGTAGACTATCGCAACGAATTTGGAAAATCGCAACGACACTGTAGACTATCGCAACGCGAAATGGAAAATCGCAACGACACTGTAGACTATCGCAACGCGAGATGGAAAATCGCACCGACACTGTACACTATTAACGCGCAATGAAAAATCGCAACGACACTGTAGACTATCGCAACGCGAAATGGAAAATCACAACGACATTGTAGACTATCGCAACGCGATTTTCAACTATCGCAACGCGAATTTGCGATACTGAAAATCGCGTTGCGAATTAGAGATCGCATTGCGATTTTGTTGGTCATTTTGGCAAATCCAAAAATAATTGGTTAAAATCGTATAATATAAGGCATTTTTGATCACTGAGGCGATTTTCTGTGCAAATAAAATTCTGGAATCCTTAAGAGATCAAGGAATAATTATAATAAAATCCGTAAAAGAAAGAAGTAAAAATCAAGCTTATTATACATATTGGTACATGTCTTTGCAAGTTTCATCAAATTGGTATCTGATTTTTTTTCATCTCAAATTGGCATTTGAACGAACTTAAAAAAATCACAGATTGGTACTAGTATCATTTTAATATTTCAACAATTAATCAAGTTAATGATGTGGTGTTGACATGTCACAACGACAGCATCATTAATTATCACATGTCATAACTTGACTGATTGCTGAAATTTTACACCATCATCAAGTATCAATTTGAAAAATTTTCCAAGTTTAAATAATAATTTAAGATATTTCCAATTTCAGGTATCAAATTGAGAAAAAATTCATACACAAATTTGGGAAAAGTTGCTAATTTCAAGTAGCAATTTTTTATAATAAGCCTAAAAATCCGAGCAGTGGAAAGAAATAGAAGAAACAAAACCAGGAGTTCAAAAGAAATATCGAGGCAGCAGTGCGCACAAAGAAGCAAGGTCAAAATCACAGGCCAATTTACGGAGGGAAGCAAATCGGAGTAAACGAGCCGAAAGCCGATAATCATGATCTCCCAGTTCTTCGTTCTCTCCCAGCGAGGCGATAACATTGTGTTTCGCGATTGTCAGTTCCCCTTCTCTCCCTTTCTTATTTTCTCTTTGAATCTAAATTTCTTTTTCTGTTTTGTTCTTATCGGAATCTCGCAATATATGGATTGGGATGAGATCCTTTTTTTTTGAATTTCTGTTATCAATAATGTTTGATAATTAATCTTTTAGATCTGAATTATTTCATATTCGATTCTAGTCATTTCAGTTGGATAGAAAATATTTCATGTAAATTAGTCCTCCTATGCTGCAATTTGAAGTATAATTGACGTTATCTTGCTTTTCAAGTTTTATTTTTTCCCTCAACCATGGTTCTAGAAGTCATCTAGATCAGCTTCCAGTTCTTTTTTTTTTGGGATAATTTTTCTCTTATTATTTATCCAAGTAAGTAATGATATGCTACAATCATGCAGAACTGTTTCAAAGAACTATGCATGTATGCTCCAGTCTATACAGATTGTCTAATTACCCATGCTATACAAGGTTATGTCGATTCTAGCATCTTTCAATCTAATCGTCACCATTTCCTTTAGCTTGCCAATCAGCTCTTGCTCAGTTATCTGCTTGTTTCTAAATTCCCTATTATTCCTTTCCCTCCATATCAAATACACATGAGCATTACATACCAACCATCAACCGTAAAATAGTGGCCATGAGAGCCTTCTCTATCAGTTTTGTAATTGCCCAATTCAACTCCTGCTGCCATGAGCAAGGATGCCTTTGCAAAGAGGATAATTGCATCACTTCATTCGATACCACCCTTTAGTATCAGCTTCCAGTTCTTCTTTACTGATAAACTAATGACTTAATCTTTGAATTGATATTTCATTTATGTTTCTGTAAAGTCAAGAGGAATAGCTGGCTTGGAAGCTATATATCGATTTTGGGATACTGGAATTCATGGGGCGTGTGGAAATTTCTTGACTTTTATTTCAATTCACAATTGGCACTTAAGCATGTACCTAATTCAAGATAATTATTGATTATATTTATAATTTTGATTTCTACTTGGGGCTTGATTCTATTGAATGCAAATATCTTTACAGCCCAAGATATGATACTGATCGAATGACTGTTACTGCAGATCGAGGTGAAGTAGCAAAAGGAAGTGCAGAGATTTTCTTCCGGAAAGTGAAGTTCTGGAAAGAGGATGGACAAGAGGAGGCACCCCCTGTCTTTGTAGGTATTATATTACTAAAGAATGTAATATCAGGCGATACGCTTTTATGCGGGCTGAACAAATTGTATGCAATAAATGGATATGCTCATTTTTTAGGTTGATTTAATCACCTCTTATTTTTTATTTTAATCCATTGTATAATCCAATGCACATTTTACTTGATCATTACAGCAATCAAGCTGGTGCAGTGCTCTAATACATTTTATCATTTTCTCCTGAATAGAATGTGGATGGTGTGAACTACTTCCATGTGAAGGTTGTTGGCCTGTTGTTTGTTGCAACCACAAGAGTTAACGTGTCACCATCTCTTGTCCTGGAACTTCTGCAAAGGATTGCTCGTGTCATTAAAGATTATTTAGGGGTTTTAAGTGAAGATTCACTGCGGAAAAACTTTGTTCTTGTATACGAGTTGCTTGACGAAGTCATTGTAAGTTATTTTTCTACTAACTTTTCAGTCGGTCTATATATTTTTTATTAAAGGCTTGTTACTCTTAACCAATTACCAATGGATTACTGCATTATGGCTTTGCTCAAGAAGTCAATATGAGATTATGGTAGACTGCATTTTAGAATCAAATTGTACATCGGAAAATTTAACCTTTCTCTTCAATGAAATATGCTTAAGCCTTTTTAATTCAGGTGAAGTATTTACCATAAGCTATGCAATTGTTCCTATGAAAAGATTTTAACAGATCCTGCTATTTTTTCCATTTTAACTAGGACTTCGGTTATGTGCAAACAACCTCTACTGAAGTTTTGAAGTCTTATGTTTTTAATGAGCCAATTGTAGTTGACGCTGCACGTTTGCAGCCTCTTGGCCCTGCTGCCATCTTTATGGTATGATGAGACTACCTGGTTAACAACCTTCATATAAATGGTACTCTCTTATTTTATCAAGTTGCATTTGTGAAGTATTTTATTTTGTCAATGTTGGATGTATGCAGCAAGGAACCAAAAGAATGCCAGGCACAGCTGTAACGAAGTCTGTTGTAGCAAATGAGCCTGGTGGTCGTAAAAGAGAGGAAATTTTTGTGGATATAATCGAGAAAATCAGTGTAACATTTAGCTCTAGTGTAAGTAACTACT